CTGTGTACGGCAATTGCGCATCAAGTAAACCCTTCCATGACGTGCACAGCTCGGCTACTCATCCAGGACGTTCTGTACGTGGTCGAATTCATCAATTTTCTACACTGCTCGCACGACGTGATATTAGGCTGGGACTTTCTTCCCACACATCATGCCGTTGTTGATTGTGTCCGGGCCGAACTAGAATTATCATCACTCGCCGAGGACGATTCTAACAAGCCTTCCATTTCTCGTGTTGTCGCCGCAGACACGGATATCCCACCTATGTCTTTGGTTATTACACCAATCTCCTGCGACCATGCTGCTTTTTCGAACGTCTTGTTCACGCCGTCTGAAGACTTCACTTCTCGAAAAAACGTTTTTCTTTCTTTCTACCTTTTGCTCTTGTGATGGTTGAAAACACTTCTGCAACCATTTACGCCACAAATCTCCTTTTAGTGCCAGCCAGATTATTCAGTGGCGAACGCATCGGCCATTTTGAGGACATCGATTGTGTTTGCGCCAGTCAACTGCTCGGTCGCGCAACAAGCCTTCAGATCGCCAGTGTTACTCCCGCTCCCACGTCCACCACATCTTCCCTAGACGCCTTCCTTCCATCGATTGATTCGGACCTTCCTGTTGTCCAACGGACCCAACTCTTGACACTCCTCGACCGCTTCCGGATGTCTTTCGACTTCAAGCAAACCGATATGGGCCGAACATCTGCAATTGTTCATTGTATAGACACCGGCACCCACACACCATTGCGTCAGCGTCCATACCGGGCCTTTCACGCTGAATGCTAAGTTATTGACGAGCAAGTGTCTGATATGCTCAATCGTGGCGTCATACAGCCATCCAACAGTCCGTGGGCCTCCCCAGTGGTACTGGTCAAAAATAAGGACGGGAGCATCCGATTCTGTGTTGATTACAGGCGCCTTAACATGATCACGCGCAAAGATGTTTATCCGCTCCCCAGAATTGACGTTGCTCTTGACTGCTTGCAAGGAGCAGAGTTCTTTTCCTCTTACCAGAATATTGGCAAGTACCCATGGATGAATCTGATCGCGCCAAGGCTGCATTTGTAACTCCGGGCGGCTTGTACGAGTTTAACGTGATGCCGTTGGGTCTTTGCAACTCCCCTGCCACCTTCGAGCGTCTGATGGACAACATACTTCGAGGCCTCAAATAACAGACGTGTCTTTGCTATCTGGACGACATCGTTGTTTTTTCAGAAGACTTTGATACCCATCTTCTGCGCCTCGCAAGTGTCCTGGAATGCCTAACGTATGCTGGGCTCCAACTAAATTTTAAAAAGTGCCATTTTGCCGCCCATAAGCTCACCATCTTAGGGCATGTTGTCAGCAAGAATGGTGTTCTACCTGGCACTGTGAAACTCTGTGCCGGCGCCAAGTTTCCTAAGCCATCGATACTAAAGGGACTCCGGAGCTTTATCGGCTTATGTTCATACTTTTGCCAATTCGTCCGTAATTTCGCATCGTAATAGCCCCTTTAACACGGCTACTTTCTGACAGTGAAAGAATTTCGACGTGGCCTTCCGCTTGCGATGACGCATTTGCCAAACTACGTCATTTGCCGACATCTCCACCTATTCTGCGTTTCTTTAACCCTGATGCTCCTACCGAAATCCACACCGACGCTAGTTGAGTTGGCCTTGGCGCTATTCTTGCTCAACGCAAGTCTGGCTTCGACAATTAAGTGGTTTCTTATGCCAGTCGCACTCTTACTAGGGCTGAGGGAAATTATTCGGTCACGGAAAACCAACGTCTGGCCATCGTTTGGGCAATAACAAAATTTCGACCCTACGTCTATGGCTGTCCATTTGACGTTGTGACTGATCACCATGCCTTCTGCTGGTTATCGTCACTAAAAGACCCGTCTGGCCGTCTGGCTCGTTAGGCATTGCGTCTCCAAAACTATGATATTCGTGTCGTCTACAGGTCGGGCTGCAGACATTCAGATGCCGAGCTATTTCCCGCTCTACACTTCTCCACGAACATGTAAGTGCGTCTGTTTCCAGTCTCGATGCTGCGGCACCTTCGTTCACTAACATGCACTCCGAGCAGCGCCAAGACGCTTGGATAGTCTCTATGATAGACGTACTGTCTCAGCCACCCCAAGGTACCACCAATCGTTCACTACGACGTACAGCTCGTAATTCGCCATCTGCGATGGACTCCTGTACCTTCGCAACTACCTTTCCGACGGCCGCAAGTGGTTGCTTGTGAGTCCTCGCCACCTACGTGCTGCTATTTGCAACTACTTTCTCGCCGATCCTCAATGCGGCCACACCAGTGTGATGAAATAGATGCACGCCTCCGGCTGCGGTACTATTGGCACGGAATGTACCGATTTGTCCGACAGTACGTATGTTCGTGTTCGAAATGTAAACGCTAAAAAAGCCCACCGAACATAGCCGATGGACTACTACAGCCATTGCCTTGCCCATCCCGACCTTATGACCACATCGGAAATGACTTTTACGGTTCCCTTCCCTACACTCCTAATGGGAACCACTGGCTGGCTGTCGCTATCAATCACTTGACACGCTATGCTGAAACTGCTGCGCTGCCAGAGGCCACATCACATGAAGTTGGCTTGTTTACCCTTCACAATCTTGTTCTTCACCATGGCGCGTCTCGTGAGCTACTCAGCAACTGCGGACGTACGTTCTTTCTGAAGCTGTACAAGCCTTTCTTCGTGGATGCAACGTTGTGCATCAGACAACCAGCTCGTACCATCCGCAAACGAATGGAATGACCGAACGGTTTAACCGCACACTGGGCGACATGCTGTCTATGTACGTGTCCGCTGACCACACCAACTGGGACTGCATACTCCCCTTTGTTATTTACGCTTACAATAGCGCCACTCAGTCTACAACAAGATTTTCTGTGTTTCCCTCAAAAAAAGTGCCTTCAGCTCAGTGCTAAAGACGTACTAACACTAACATCAAACTCACGCAAAATACATTTTATATACGGATGACACTACCCTATTCTTTCCTTCTAATTATATACAACACTTAGCAGATATCAAGAACAATGCACCCTAATCCCTTGCCACATGGTCATCGGTTGATTCACTGAAAAATCACCAGGCCTGCGGGAAACGCACAGCACAGTCACAGCGAAAGCATGAAGGGTGGCCTTCAGAGTCTTTTCTAAACACTCTCCTTTCAAAGTCTTTTCTAAACACTCTTTGGGTAAATGCTAGAAGTAGACTTGCTGGGTACCCATTACGCCTTAAACAATCATAATTTCTGTGCAGTAGGCCGACATTCACTATGCTATCCTACGACATACTTTGGAGAAGCGTAATATCCGCTAAACACTTGCAACTGATTTTGTGAGAATTTTGTGTTGCATTTAGTGGCTGACAACGATGAAGAATTACGCCTCAAGTGGGTATGTGCCACAGTTAATAGGTGATGAAGAACAAGCTTTCGTAATGTGTTGGAGCATTGGACGACCCAATCGTTATGCTATTCACGTTGTGTGACGCATGGTTGTTCCTTTGCTATTTAAAATGCTTTATTACTTATATCAATGCGATTCCTTTCCCAACATCAAGCCTGCCTAAAGCCAGTTTGCGAATGTGTGCCAAGCGTCGGCTTGGCTCAGTGATAGAATACTGGGCTAGCACACAGTGGACCCGGGTTCGAATCCAACTATGTCACTACGTGTCTTTGGTGTTTTTCATAAGAGTTTTTTTTCCTATTTCGTGCGGAAGTGGTTACGGACGCCGGCGGCGGTGGACAACTACCCGCGCCGCGTGTGATCTGTGTTGTGATGTCAAAGCAGCTTTTGCTGTAAAATAAACAGAAAACAAAAGCAGTGCTCTTTCTTCCGAAAAGAAAAGTATTTCTACGGCCCTGCTTATACCTAAGTGATACTGTAATTGAGTACATGGACACGTTTAAATCATTAAAAATAACCTTCAGCAGCACAATGTGATGGGATGTACATGTTGATAATCTTTCTTCACCCCTCATGAGAATCATAGGAATCACTTCACGTAACGGATATATTTTTCCCACCAAAACCACGCTTACTTTGTATTATGCGTTCTTTTATTCCCACACTAGCTATTGTCTGTTCGTCTGGGGCAACACAACTTCGTCAAACAAACTAAAACTGCAAACTCTGCAGAAGAAAATACTCGACACAATTTTAATGGGTCTCATGATTTCCCCACTGAGCATGTTTTTTTACAATACAATATTGAACCTATAACAAAATTATTTGACTACAGGTTTGCATACTTTTAAAAAACAACAAGAAAAAATTATTCATTTCTTTCTAAAATTGTTTCACTTGCACTTCGCCATTCACTATATGATACCAGAGTACAAAATAGTTTCGTACTACCAAAGTGTACAACAAACTATGGTTTTCCTATGTTAAATTATATTGTGCCAAAATTCTTGAGTACCTCATTTTATGACTGCCTAAATACTTTGTGTTATCGTGCCATCCACAAAAGCACTATTCAGCAACCTTTGTTATCTTAGTCACAATGTGGTTTCATGTCTTCACACATTGTATCACTATGTCTTATTGTTTTGTACTCGCAGTAGTGTTACTAATGAAGATACGTACATATCTCTTTTGTACTAGATTTATTATTTTTTTTGTAACTACATAGTGGTGGTGTGTTTTCTTTCTTTTTTTCTTTCTCTCTTTTATTTGTATTTTTAATGAACCTCCCGTGCAGCAATTGTTTTCTGCTTGGTGCCTACTGCTGACATGTACAGATGATGAAGCACATCAAGCAACGTTAAATTCACTGCTTTTTTTTCTCGCTTACCACGGTTTGTGTGTATAAGCTGAAGTGCAGACTTGATTGGCTAGTTGTTGAACCTAAGTTCACCCTATACGCATGACATGTGCGTGCCACGAGGCACAAACTACTTCACAGGGAAGTGATAGTACCCCCGTACAACTCCTACGGGAGTCTGTCCTTTGTACTGTGAAAGCAAAAGACACATTTATACTCACCTTTTGATAACTTTGATGTCGCATGAAGCTCCAAATTTTCTTGCTACGGGCAGAAACACCTGCATAATGACACAAAACATGTTGCACAATGAGCGTCTATATCAAAGATTCCAGATTTTACCAAGCTATAATGATGATGAATGGGGCTTTGTGGCACAAGGGCCATAAGTTGCCACAGAGCACCATGTATTTTATGTGGTATTAGTGGTCACCAATGTTTGCGATGACAGGGTGTATTTACGGCTGTATAGAGGCCTAAAATCACTTGCTCAAATTTAGTGTAAAATCTGTGTATAGATAGTAAAATTATGGCAATAATATACAGGAAAAAGATGGACAATAGGACCTATGCTCCTCAAGGCCTTTGTGGCTAAAGGCAGGGATGATGGTGCTCTCTCGAATAAAAAAAATCACAGCATATCCACGGAGTGAATGACGATTGGTGGGGCGAAGTGTCCGTCCGTCCATCCGTCCACTTGTATTTTCGTCTGTTTAGTGAACACTCCAAGTACAGTCATCTCAAATCTTTTCATCATGTATTAATCATATACAAGTGCTGCCATCCAGCGGACATTCTATGGACTGCTCTTTCGGGTATGTACCGCCGGTGGTTACGCACTACAACAAGGGACGCACAAGCTTTGCCATAAGGAGCTTCGCCCCTAAACTACCACAGCAGCAGCCTCTCTTCAGAGGTTGTGCTACGGGTTGCCTGCATATGACGTGAAAGTTCTCAACTTCTTTCAAAAACGCAAACAATGACTGAGGTTTAAAACTGGTTCGCTGCCTATGAGCACCAATTAATGAAGTGGCACTTGTTCTTCGAAGATAGATGGGAAATACTTTTAAAGACGATAGTCTTTCTTGGGGACCTTGGACGCAAAATTTTGGTCTGTCTGTCTGTCTGCACATTTGTCTGCCCACACTTAACGCTAACCTAAACGGCACCAAACTGACCAAACGATACTTCAAACGGCCGACCCCATCCGCAGCGCCCACCAATAATGCTCAAGGTTTATCGTTCATACTTGTGCGATTGTCGATTAAAAAGCAATTATTGCGCATATCTGAGGCACCATAACAACACGTCAATATTATGTATGTGTATTTTTTTATTAGAAAAGGCATACATAAATAATTTAGGGATCGTAGACTTTAAAACGCTGCGCTGGCCATGCAACACTTGCACGAAACGGCAAGTGTTTCAAACGCTTTGCGAAGACGACAGGGTGGTGGCACCTACACGTCACCTTGCGTTTTACACCTTATCACCGTGCGCCCCATTTTTCAGGATAACTGCCAGATAGCGCGCATGTCTCATGTGTGACGTGACTTAATGCGCTCGTTCACCTCTGCTGTACGCTCGAGGCACTCTAACGCAGCACTTCCAGATACTAGTCACAGATTTTCTTGCGCAATACATCAAATAAACGTTTCGTTCACTCTCTCCAGATGCAAAACTATAGTCTTTCGATGACATTTGCAATGTAAACATGCAGATACGGGGCCTATTTTTCCTGATGTGATCAAGTTAAGTGTATTGGATAAGAAAATGTAGCACAGCAAGTGGTTCCCAGCACTTATCACACAGAGGTGGATCGGCACCGGACAAAAGGTAGGAGTGTATACTGTGTGTGTGTCCTATCTTAATCTGGTAAGTGTTACTTCTGTGTGACGTGATCTTGATAGTGGCGGCCAATTCTCAAGACGCGGTTTTATGAAATTAAGTTTATCCTGTGTTGCCTGTTCCGTGATCACTCCCAATGATCCCTAGGCTTCCCTTTAGGATAGGTTTTCTAGTCAATTGCAGGGACAGCTATAGGTGTATTATGAACGCTTTCGTGGGCAGATGCTGATAGCTGATCTGCCAACACATTATCATAGATCTTGCGGTGCCCTGGCACACAGCCGACCACGACATGTCTGAGCGTGTAAACTTCGCATAAGATTGCATATAGTGAAGTAAGGACTGACTTTTTGGGTGTTTTCATTGTTTTAAAGCTTTTACCGCACTCAAGTAATCAGTGAATATTACTGCCTTCCCTAGTTTCAGTAGTTTGATGTGTTTTATGGCTGCAAGTATAGCATGAACTTCTGCTGTGAGAATACTTGTACAGTTGAGCCCACATATAACGGCCCCACTTAAAACGAAATTTCATTTAAAACGAACAATATTCGCATGACCGTGAAAACATACATTGGTTCAATGGCACAAAATCGCACTTACAACGAACGTCTCTGAGCGTCGCTGATCGGTTACAGCAAACGAAATCGGCGGTCTGCCGACTTCCCAGGAAACCAATTTCGACCACCGATCAAGAATAGGCGAGTTGCCCATACATTCTTATTGTTAAACGCCGACCCTGCCTCCGCGAGCCTCTAGTTGCCGCTCTCCCCAACCCATGGAGAAGGGAAACCCGTTTCCTTCCTCCTACCACGACTGCTTTTTCTTACGCACCCCTCCATTCTTTGTCCCCCCCCCCCCCCCACAACTAGTTCTAAGCACCCCACATCGCCAGATGAGACCCGTGTTTCCACAATGGCCACCGATCTTTCGAAGACCTGTCGGCCATCTACCCTGTTTTCGATCGCTGGTACTGTCCTTGGCATCGCCAGCCTGGAGTGACCAGACCATTTGCCACCATCGTTAGCCACCGACTGTATCCGATAGTCTCCGTCTAGTGCACGCGCATACGCTACCCCGCCGACTCTGATAATTTGCGATTCGTTTCGTGTTTAGGACTTGTTCTCACTAAGTTCGCACTCGGCTCAGCATGCCTTTCGCGCGCGTGTGAAAGCCCGAAAACGGTTGTTAATTTGCGCAGAACAAATCGCAAAATATCGAAGTTCGTGCTTACAGCAGATGATGGTGCCGACACTGCGGAACCGTACACAGATTGGGGCATTGTGAATGAAGAATGTGGCGAGAGCGATGTGGACGAATCGGATTGCGAGAACGACGAAACTTTGGAGCCAGTGCCTCATGCAGCTTATGCCACGGGCCTCGGCGAACGAGCACTCTGCCGTTTTAAATGAACTCGAGACCGCCCTTATCGCTTCTGCTCTTCGGAACACATGCATCACGAACTTTTTGGGGCAAAAAAAGTTTGTGTTTTCAGTCGCAACTTTTTAAAAGCTGTGTTTCATTTACTACGAACTTCGGGATACAGCGAACAAATGCCACGTCACGCTCAGGTTCGTTATAAGCGGACTCGACAGTATAAGTGTGCAGAATGCTGACATCTGAAAAAGACAGACCGACTGCTGCGTATGACACAGACGTGCGAGATTTAGTGACATCCGTAAAGAATTCAAGACAGATATACTTGCACTCAAGTTCAAGGAAGTATGTATGAGTTATGTCCAAAATAAATGCGTTTTGAAATTTCTCCGAAGGATACATCAAAATCTATTGAGTGTCACTGCAACGACGGAATATTTGTAGCAGGGACCGCCAAACAGTGTTCCTAAGTAGGCACACTCATTTCTTCGGCTAGGCCCCTTGCTTGTTTTACGCAAGGCTCTCCCACAGAAGGACGGTTATGAAAAGGGGTAGAAGTGGATAGTTCTTTGACAGCTGAGTGCAAAGGGTGTTCGTTGTTTGAGTTTACCTTGAGAAAATATACAAATGCTAAGTAGGATCTCAGCAGATTGAGCAATCACTCATTCGATTCAACGTAGAGGCTCTCTACAGGGCTTGTGCGAGATGCACCTGTAGAGAGGCGAATGCCCAGATAATGGACCGGATCCAGAATCTTCAGCGCACTCGGTGTGGCCAACTGGTAGATTGTGGTTCCTTAGTCTAGTCGCGTGCGTGCAACACTTTTGTACAGGTTAAGGAGACACTGTCTGTCACTGCCCCGTGATGTACGCGGCAGGACCTTTAAGATATTGTTTTCATACACTTGTTTTTGATATATTTTATGTGTGACACAAACCCTAGCTTCGTGTCTAAAATCAAGCCTAAAATTTACGATCTGTTTTTGCAGATAGACGTTGACCTTGTAGGTCTATATCGGGTTTGGATGCAAGCCCTTTTTTCTCATAAAAAGGACACGTGTTTTTTGAAGATATATGCCGAAACCATTTTCACCACCCATTTCCCCACTCTGTTTAAGGGAACAGGTTCAGCCTTATACCCGCCATGTATTTTATTTCGGCTAACTTTATGTACCTCTTTCTCCATAACCATAAAAGTTGAAGTAATTATTTTACTATGATTGTGATCATAAGCATTCCTCTTTTCACTGAATCACAATTATCCCTGACACTTGTAATACTAATTTTTAGTTTTTTTTTTTACTTGAGGTACCTAATTATCACCCATTATATGGTATTAAATGTAATGTTAATAAAGTACTTCCTCAAACAAGAATAATTCTGCTTCAGTATACTCTCTAGCATGTTCTCTAAATACTGGCTGAAATCTATCTCTAGATCCAGTGGTTGCTGAAAAAAAGGTACATAAGTACAAAAAAGGCAGATTTTGCGATAATCGCGTTTAAAGTGGAAAACATGCTTTATTTCATAAGTGCCACGAAATAACCACCAATTGAAGGACATTTTTAATAGGCACCAGCCATATACTCAGCACCAACATCACTTTACCTTCTTGAGTTGAGGCGTCTGACCTGGCGGGCCTCCTTTGTCACCTGCTTCACAGACCTGTCAGTGAACTACTTACTGTGAATGCAGCTCAAGTGTGCGTAGGCCCTGCACTGAGTAGCGACCTGGCGAAGCTCCAAACGAGTTCAGCACATTTACACGAGTTATATTGCCGTCATTAAAGGTAATTACAGTATCAAGAGTGCATATTTTCAGTGTTATATGTCCGAGAAACACTTTTTTCAGAACATGTTCCCACACAACATTGTTGAACGTTGCCCGCACATAGCGATAAAAATTATCACTGGTGCTTGGAACAAAGTCAAGTAAAACACTGAGGTCACGGTGTAAGAATAAGTTAAGTGCTGACACTCGCTGCTCCGCGTAGGGCGAGGGCACGAGCAGATTGTGTTCGCCGATGACCTTGAGCTATGTGTAGTTGCCGTCACGCTAG